GAAGGTCCATGGTGGGGGGATGCCCGTGGGGAGGGAGGGGGCTCTGAGGGTCCCCAGGCCGATGTGGGGGTTCCCAGGGGGCTGCCAGGCCTGTGGGGAGGGGGCTCTGGGGGATGCCCAGACCCATTTAGGGTCTGTCCAAGGCTATGGGGTGGGGCTCTGGAGGGTCCCCATCCCCATGGGAGGGTCTTCATCCCCACGGAGGGGGGGGCTCTGAAGTGTTCCCACCCTGCTGGGGTGTTCTCTGGAGTGTCCCCATCCCCAGGGGGTGTTCTCTGGAGGGTCCCCATCCCCAGGGGGTGTTCTCTGGAGGGTCCCCATCCCCCTGGGGTGTTCTCTGGAGTGTCCCCATCCCCCGTGGGGGGGTCTCTGGAGTGTCCCCATCCCCAGGGGGGTCCCCAGGCCGCTGTCCCCGCGCTCGGGGCCGTTGCCATGGTGACGGCGGCGGGCGAAGCCCCGCCCCACCCGCGGAGCTCTCGCGAGAGTTGGCGGCGCGGCCCGGGCGAGGCCCGCGGGGAGCGGCCCCGGTGGCTCCGAACGGAACGGAGAGAGCCGGGATAGAAACCGGGATAGAGCAGGGATAGAGACGGGATAGAGACTGGATAGAGCTGGGATAGAGACCGGGATAGAGCCAGGATAGAGCAGAGATAGAGACGGGATAGAGACCAGGATAGAAACGGGATAGAGACCGGACAGAGCTGGGACAGATCCCGCTCCCTCAGGACAGATCGGGACGGGTCCCGCTCCCTCGGAACGGGCCGGACAGAGCCCGGACCGGAGCGGACAGCCCCGGCTCCCTTCGATCGGACAGAGCCCGGACAGAGCCCTCGGAACGGACTGGACTGAACAGACCGCGGGCAGAGCCCGCTTCCTTCAGCCGGGCCCCATCCCGCTCCCTGATCCCATTCCCGCTCCCTGATCCCATTCCCGCTCCCTGATCCCATTCCCTCTCCCCAATCCCTTTCCCGATCCCCTTCCCTTCCCTGATCCCTCCCCGATCCCGGCCTCTCTCCCGGCTCCCTCAGCCCGGCCCGGCCCCTCTCGCCATGAGCTTCCTCTTGTGAGTGCCGGGACCGGAGGGGACCCTTGGGGGGGCTCGTGGGGGGGAAAAAGGCCCGTGGGGACCTTGGACTCGGTCTGTGAGAGGTTTTTGGGGTGGAGGGGAAGCGTTTGGGGAGGGTTGGAGGGCTGAGGGGGGGATGGATGGGTTTCTTGGGGAGGCTCTGAGGGGGTTCCTGGGCCGGGGGGGGGGAGATGGAGGGTGTCTGGGGGGTTCCTGAGGGGAGTTTTGGGTTTTGGGGAAGGTTTTGGGGGGTCAGAGGCCCCCCAAGGAGCTGAGGAAGGCCCAGGACGAGGCCTGGGAGGGCTCTTAGGGGAAGGTTTAGGGGGAAGCCCAGGGTGGGGTTGGGCTGGGGGGGCTCATGAGGGGCTGGGGGGTCCCTGGGTGTGTTATGGGAGCAGAAAAACCCTTGAAAAGTTTGCTTAGGGATGAACAAGAAGGGGCTGAGGAATAGTCGGGGAAGAGGAGGAGGAGGAAGCCCTGGAGGGACACAGGGAGGAGTGGAAGAAACCCTGGGGGGAGAGTGGGTTTTTTGGGAGGAAGCCTTGGAAGAAGCTGAGGGGGACAGAGGGTTCCAGGTGGGATGAGGAGGGGTTGGAAGCAGGAATGGGGTGACCTGGAGGGCAGGAACTCCTGGAGAGGGGCTTTGGGGTGTTGGGGACAGCCAGGGACGAGTGTGGGGACCATTTGCGTTTCAGGAGGCTCTCAAGTCACATTTTTAGCAGGTGGTTTCCCACCCCTGTGTAAAATTTGCCCCAGGGACGTGGGATTTTCTTTCCATGACCGGCTTTTTTGGGCCTCTGGGTAAAAGACTTGGGAGTCTTTGGGCCTTTGCACATGTTTGGGTTATTTCCAAAAGTTTCCAAGTTGGTTATATTATTTTAAGTATATATATATATATATATATATATATATGTATTATTTTATCTATTATATTATATATAATATAATATATATTATGTAGTATATATTATTATATATTGTAATTATATAATTGCCTATTGTCTTGTTATATCATGTATTATATAATATATACTATAAATATAAATTATGTAAAATATATTCTATCTAATATAAATATAGAATATAAATATAAATATATAATTATAAACTATATAATGTATTATATATAATGTATATATACATTATATAATGTATTATATATGTATACATTATATAATAGATAATGTATCATGTAATAACATATATCTAATTATTATAATTAAGATAGTATTATAAGATATATAGTATTATATATCTATACTATATATAGATAGTATTATAATATATATATATATAGTATTATTGTATGTAATAATATATATTATATAATGTGATATATTATCATATATTATATAATAACATATCTAATATTCTGTATAATATATTATGTATAATATAATGTTATATTATACATTATTTCCAAATATATGTTATTTCCAAATATATGCTATTTCCAAGTTTATATTGTTTCCAAAAGGACTTGAGGAAATGGCTTCAGGTCACTGGGCTCCCCTCTCCCCAGGGCAGGTTCAGGTTGGATACTGGGGGGAAAATCCTTCCCAGGAAGGGTGGCAAAGCCCTGGAATGGGCTGCCCAGGGCGGTGGTGGAGTCACAATCCCTGTGGATTGTGGCACTTGAGGGCTGGGTCAGGGACCATCAGCAGGGTGGTGGTGCTGGTGGGGTGGTGCTGGTGGGTGCTCAGTGACCCCGCAGACCTTTCCCAGCCTCAACTGGACGTGTTGTCTCCTCTGTCCCCCAGTGGGAGCCGTTCCTCCAAAACCTTCAAGCCCAAGAAGAACATCCCCGAGGGCTCCCACCAGTACGAGCTGCTGAAGCACGCGGAGGCCACGCTGGGCAGCGGCAACCTGAGGCAGGCCGTGATGCTGCCCGAGGGGGAGGACCTCAACGAGTGGATTGCTGTCAACAGTGAGTCCTCTGAGCTGGAGGAAACCCCCAGGAACCTCGGGCTTTATCCCTGCACAGAGCTGGGACTTCCCCAGGCAACCCTGCTTGGGTGGAATGAAGAGTGTCAGTGGAAAGAAAGGAAGAGACAAACCTGCCCCTGCCATGGTTTTTGGGGGGGTGGGGGGGTTTCATGAGCTCAGGCTCTCAGGGGTTATTTTTGGGGTTGGAAAGTTCCTGTTGTTGGCTGCAAAAGCTGCACCAAATAATCCAGGGAGGAAGTGGAGTCTCATTTCCACCCAACTTCAGTTTTGGGGAGTTCCTTTCTTGTTTTCTGATTCCAAAGCCTACAAGTCCAGTTTGCTTTCAGCAGCTGCTCCCCATGGCCTTGAACTTTTGTTTTTCTTTGGAGTTTAGAGGAGGAAAAAAGCAGTTTTGAAGGAGGGCAGGGAGAGTTCAGCCTGAGGGAGGCCTCTCCTGTTTGTTCAGAGCAGTCAGGGGTTTGGGGAGCCTGGAACCCAAAGCTACTATTTCCAAGGATAGGGAATGCTAAGTGAAGCTCCATGCTTTGCAAGTCAGGTGGATGTTCGGTTCTTTTTTTTCCAAGAGTTTTTTTGGGTGCCCAGGGATCCTCAGAGCCCATCTGGTGTTCACACTTTGAGTCCCTTTGCTGCCTTTTCCTTCCCAGCTGTGGATTTCTTCAACCAGATCAACATGTTGTACGGGACCATCACGGAATTCTGCACGGAGAGCAGCTGCCCTGTCATGTCTGCAGGGCCCAGGTGAGGGCTCTGCTGGGGGCTGGGGACACATTTCTCACTGGGGACACGGGTGGGTGCCCAGAGCACTCAGGGGTGTGGAGAGAGAAGCAAAGAAGGGCATGGGATGTGTCCCCAC